AGGAGAATTACGGTCTCCTTTAAGCTATGCAAATCCATTATTCAAAAGAAAACAAAACGAATTTTCAAAATACACAATCGTTGAATAACTTGTGTAGTTCCAGCTAGAATCATCAACCAGTACATCCATCGTGTGGATGAAATAGAAATTTCTGATTGTGTACACCATCTCTCCATCTAATAAAATACCGTTGCATTTTTTTTTTTTTTTTACTTTGAGTGCACAATACATTTTAAAGGCTCGGGAATAGACCGATCTCACCAAGCGTTCCACGCATGCGTGACGCCGCCATAACTGTATTTCGTAGCCGGCAGACGCCAGTTCACGAGGTAGCTCATGCCGCCTCGTGCTCTGCTCGCGCAGACTTCCAGCAGGTTTGTCGCGCGTGCAGAAAGCTCACACGATGCATGTCGGCAGCGTTGGCGTACTCAAACTAGCTGGTGAGATCGGTCTATTCTAAATCGACCGACCTCTCTAGCCAATTTCGTGGCGCCACCGCTGCCGGCATGCACCGTGGGAATAGACCCCTTCCGTAATTCAGTCTGGCCACTTTGATCACTATCATCATCATCTGAAATCGGCATATGTGCTATACTAATGGCGGCCTTCTGTTTACTGATGAAGGAAGAAGTTGAAGATGCTCCTGAGCAGATGATTCGAGGCCTATACATTCTAGGTGTTAGCGCGACGTGAAGCAGGAATTGGAAGCAAGAGCTGCGTAAACGTTCATTTCTAACTCAGTCCCAGTCAATCTGTTAGTAGCACTCAATCGGCTTCAAAGCCTCTTGATGTATAGGACTCTATCAAGGCGTCTATGTGGGTTGGCGCTTCGTTCCGACTGGCCGCATTTGTTTCGCCATCGACACTTAAAGAGATTGAAAAATAATTGTAGTGAAGTGAACATTTTCGTTTACCGTTGACCTTTAAGTGACGGTGCCCCATTAAATACTGCAGACCACAGGCTCATTGCCGCCATTAGTATAGTAAAAGATAAACTGCCATTTGAGTCACCAGATGGCACTGAACTCCGGAAAGGGTTAGAGTGCCTTCATACACACGCGCTTTTGCTTGAGTGGTGACATCTCAGCCATTTTTCCGCTCAATTGTTTTTCATGCCTTTTGAAGTGCGCGCAATCCGGTGTCACTCAGCTCGAGCGCGTAGCTTTGGCTAATGCATAGACGCCATTTTACCGCCCAAGTCATGCACCGAGTGCGCGAGAGCGTCACGCGCTGGCACATTCAGTGCAACAATGGATGTCTTCACCCTGAGACAGACAGACATGCAGGCACCCTAGAAAGGGTCTACTGTAGCCTTTCTTCCCGCAAAACAACCACGCTGCGAGTCTGCGCGAGCAAGGCAGGAGACGGCACGAGCTATCTCGTGCACTGGCATTTGCTCCCGTGAACTACAGTTATGGCGGCGTCACGCATGCGTGGAACGCTTACTCAGATCGAGCTAAGGTCTAGTTTGAAAATTAAAATCAATTTATACCCCATAAATCCCTCTTGAATATACGAATGAAAACAAGAACAATGAGTTAAGTCTCAATGTGGAAAGCAATATAAATCAGAGTGGAACACGATAGCGTTATCATGCCCCGTTCGCATCGCCTCCTCATTCGCTTCTCGCGCCCTTCCCGCCAGCGAGCAGGAAGTGCAGCGGACATGGCCTATAGTCAATAGCCTGTCTGGCTCGCAACCGAAGAGTCGCGGGTTTCAATCCTGCCTTAAATTCTTTAAATTTTTCTTTAAGGCAAATATATAAAACCTTATAAAGTTAAATCGTTTGAGACGTACATGTTGCGACACTAAATTTCCATTAGACGTCACGTTTTCAATCACTTTCATTCTACGCGTGACGTCACGTGAGCGTGGGCGATTGTTCGAAATTTCCGCGCGAGGGCATGGGACTGCAGCGTCATGACCCTATCGACCAATCAGGATTTTCCCGTCACGACGCCACCGACGCCAACGTCGGATTTTCTGCGAAACGAGCTTCTCAACGCTGTCGCGTTAAAAACTCGCAGCCGACGCTACGAGGTAATGAGAACAATCAATCGGCGCGTCAAAAGAGCAAGTCGCTAGGTTTTTTTTGTTTCTTCGTTTATGATTGATTCGGAGATGATAGAGCATGTTCCGAAACATAACGAACGCCATGATGGTGCTCTTTTGGCGCTGTCTGGTTTGTCCCTTCAGCTTGTCGGCTGCGTCTGGGCCTGAGGTGAAACCAAGTACCCTCTGCGCCCTGCAAGAGGGTGATGACATCTTGTAACTCCGCGGCAACCTATAGCAGTCGGGCTTATCGGAAGACCCATTATCTTCATTGTACGCGGTATGGCGGCCAAGGTATCAGCAGTTTTATCTCTTCAAATACGCCCTCGCTATTTTTCCTCTTCTTTCTGCCGCACGCTTTTTGGCATTATCCGCCACTGTGAGATTGCGAGAGGCGTGTACGTCGCTGCAACCGGCCGTAAAAATAGCTCTCCTTGGCACGCGTTCAGTTTCTCTCGCTTATCTTCCGATGCCGCTGAGGCTCAATGAATCATTCTTTGGAGCCTGCGCAAGCGCGCACCCATTCAAGTCTTCTTTTTATGTCCCAGGACGCATGGCTTATTGCTCTGAGAAGCTTTCCCACGTTGCATATACCTTTGACCTTACACGTGGCTGCAATATCGTGTAAAGATATATTCTTTTTTTTTTTTTTTGACACGTCTTTGTGACAAGAAGATGGTGACGTGCCGTTTTAATGACCGTTGATGGAAGACGTTTCTAAAGTGAGAACGGCAGTTACTGTGGCTCGCACTGGCACAGTACGAGCCACTGTAGGTCCAAGAGCGAAAAAAAAATTATTGAAACTTTAGTTTTGCCATTTACGAGCACTTTCCCGGCAAGATTAGGTCTCAATCGTAGTCTTTTAGCACTAAAAATGACATAGATCTGACGTCACTCGTTCAATGCTATGACGCAGTCCAAATTCGCTAGTCTTGTATGAAACAATTACGCTAATTACAGCATAGCCCTCCTACGTACTGGGAAGTTACTCCCGCTTCCTTTTCTCTTCCCCGGCTGTGTTGTGAACGATTTCTCAAATATATTACATTCAATTGACGTCCTGAGAAAAATCAGAAATGAGTTGACGTTTTTCTCTTAGTTTTTGGTGAGGTGGCATAAAAATTGCATGTCCACACACGTTTTCGCTTAGCACACTCACGTATATGCACCTCCCATTCTTCGAAAGGCATACGCTACACCTCGATTTTCTGCAGGGAAGAAAATCCTCGTAGCGCTTTCCCCTCGTTAGCTGTGAGGGAAGCCAAGTTGCGGAAAGGTAAAAAGCGGATAGTGTATGGGAAAGGAGGATGCGGGCAAAAGTGGAAAGTTCGAAGTGTACGTCGGCCTTTAAGCTGAAACCAGGAGCTCCGCTTCAGCGCTTGCATTCTGCCCTTATTAAGACAAGTGTGAACGCTTAGGCCCGCGCAACCGTAGCACTGCGGAAGCCAGAGAGCTAGAGCTGAAGGCGGAACTTCTAGTCTCAGCTTAAAGGCCGACCTGCAAAATATTTTTCAACCAGGATGAAAATCCTCCTCGCCACCCCTCCCGTTTCCCCCTCCCCCACTCTTAACTTGACAGAGGGGGGGGGGGGGGGGGCGAGGGGACTCCTTTTGTTCCTGCATCTTGGTGCCGGGCCGCGAGCTTCTCCCGGTTTATCTACCCCCAAGATGCACTAACAAGGGGAGTGCCCCGCCACCAAAAAAACAGTGGGAAAAGGGGAAATTGGAAGAGTGGCAAGGAGGACTTTCACCCTGGTTGAAACATATTTTACAACTCCGCTCAATTCCGAAGATTTCGGGATGGTGGGTGATTTCGCATTAAAATGCACTAATAAAGAACACTACGTCATTTGCTTCGCGAAAAATGGTATAGATATTGTTAAATCTAATTTTAAACACGAGCACAAATCAAAGCCGGAACTTCGGCTGCGTCATACAACATTGGCCTCGGGCCGCCAAGTACATGACTATCACGTGGTACGAAATGTCATGTGATCCTCTGCGCAACGACGGGCGGGGTAGGGGCGGGTGTGTGCCAGGCGCAAGTGTCGTCTGCACCGCACTCTTCACCACGTTTTGGTGTCTACGACATTCGACGATGTCTGCGCAACTGTGGCATATGTCTGCACACGTAGTGTCCGTAGTGTGGATGGTACTCCGAGACACAATGATCACAAACTGTGAGATGACGACGCCGGTTGTAACGCGGGAGACGGCGGTAGCGACGGGACCATGCCGAGACGGCCGGACGGCTCCCAAGAAGAGCGCTGCGCAAGCGCGTTACGCCAATCACGTGGACACCGCTGAGCACCGAGAGGAAATGTTGCTGACGTCACCCATTGCGCTTACCTGGAGAAGTAAAAACAATCAAAAAGGGGCAATGGTGATGACCTTTAGCTCAATGTTGGTTCCGACACTCTGGCTGCGTTGTTGGTTGCACCTCAATTCGCCCGTTCGAGTCAGCCGATTTCGACAGCTTGGCAAGTTGCAAAGTTTGCCGGACTGTTTAAGAAACATTTACACAGAAATAGGTTGTAATATTTGACGTGTGGCCTTCAAAGGCGATACTGAAGAGGATCGCATTGTTTCTCAAAAACAAAAATGAAGCGAAGCTGCTCTTTAAGGGGTGAACGGAGTATACAAAATTAAGGAGATATCCGTCTAAAGTGGCATGTCTGAATATGCAATGGAAATCACTTTGACTCCATATTTTCAAAGGACGAAATTATTTGTTTTGTCAATTTTAGCAAAAATCAAGTTTCCTGGCTGGAGACTAATGAAAATTATTTCTAGGAGATATCAGAACTCATCAAACAATCAAAATCAGAAAACTTTCAGAAGGAATTTGTGCCACCGTCGGCAGCACTTGTGCTTTGTTGAAAAACATATATACCAATGTATAAGAAGAACCCGCAGTGTCCATATAGCAAACGTTCTTGTCTTTCTCAGGCGTCCAAGCCCTTGATGGAAAAGCGTCGTCGTGCCCGCATCAACCACAGCCTCTCCCAGCTCAAGAGCCTGCTACTGGACACCCCGACGAAAAAGGAATCTCAGGTGCGGATCGCTCTCTTTCTTAATACTGTCTTTGTTCGAGATGAAAGAAGCTGGAGGATGGTCGTGCTGATATGTATGCGCGTGAAAAGTGCTGTAAATGTCCTTGGGTACTGTCATGCACCCTAATAAATTGAATGATCGGAAATATTTCAGTCTTCCTCAGGCAGACCCTAACTGGGAAAAACACTCGCAAGGCCAACCAAAGGGAGATTAAAGTAAGGGATACAGAGAGAAAGAGAGAGAGAAATGGAGAGAAGCATGTAGAGAACAGGCATCGGGAGATGGGACAAGAGGGTGACCGGCCAGCGTGGCCTTCTGAAAAACAGTTTAGGAAGACGGGGAAGATGTCCCAGGCTTGCCCCTGGCCACCAATAAGGAAGAGAAGACGCGTAGCCACAACCGTCTGTTCACCTGCGTTTTGAACAGTGTCGTTTTCGACCGAACCCATCCGCGTTAAAATCGGAGCCGTGAAGCCATCCGAATTATATAATCGTGTGCTCACAATGTTTGCATGCGCGTAGCAAAAGTATGTTGATGGATAATGTAGCGTCATTACAAAGAAGATTCGGCGTCCTCTCGAGATGCACTTTAAGAGGAAAACGGCGCGTGTCCGAGGCACAGGTGGCTCGACCTGCTGTTTGACAAATAACACGGTGTAGTTTTCATAGATTAACTCGCCCGGTGCTGACGTCATAGCTCCGCGATGCTTATCCACTCCGACGCGCGCCAACATTGTTCGCTGCAGCTTCCGCGTTAAAAGTGGCGCCCTGTATACCTAACGTCGAGATGCAAATGACGGAAACCTTGCTCGCTAAAGGGAAACCAAACGAAACACAAGACCATCAACACGCGACGCGGGGCCTCAGATTGAGTAACCCTCCAGCACCGTCACTTCCGCGAAGACAAGCGCCTATTCAAAGCTCGTTAGCGCTTAACCATCGCAAAGTTTTGAACGCCCATCAACATATCCTCCTCACCTCCCTCAAAGAGTTACACAAGTCCCAAGTCAAGGCTGTTTGGGAGCAGATCAAACTGTCGCGCCCCCAGCGACTAAATTGAAAACTACATTCGTATGGTCCACAAACAAAACAAAACACAAATACTGTTCTTTTTTTTTTTTTTTTGACGCAGAGCTTGGCTGACGTAGCCAGACGCTTCGTCACTGGTCGGCTAGAGCTCGTAGTTGTGAGACGCAGCCGCACGTCGACGCAGCACTTGTGTGCAAACTGTGCTCGATCGAGCTAAGTGACCTCAAGTATCCGCACCGCAGGCGGTCTCGTGTTGGGTAAACGCCGAACTTTGTGGAAAGCAAGCCGGACAAAGCGCTTCTTACGGTTTAATCTCCTCGCCAATTATTACACTATATAAACTCAAAGCACGCTCGCCCCATGGCACTTATACTCTTGCTATTGCTTATTGCTGTCAGAAAAGTAAATGACTAACGCACTAGAGTGCTAAAATTTTAGGTCTGACAGAGTTTCCAGAACGTTTATAATAATCGGCTGCTTGTTTCTACTGCGAACGAAAACTTAATACCGGGCTAGCGAGTGGGCTAGCGCACACCAGCTCGGAGGACGTGGAGTAAAAGCACGCGGTGCAGAACGCGGGGATTTTGGGTTGAATCCCCACCCCTGCCCGTTTCGATTTGAATGAGCATCGTAGCGGCGTGCGGTCGCGTATCACTACTGCGTGGTGCACGTGAAAGACCCCAGGCTAGCGGTTGTACTGCGCTGGCTAAGTTTCTCATCTACAGCTGAGAGACAAGTTGCCTGTTAAGACAGACTAAGTTCAGGCTGTATAAACGTACACACAACCCCATTATATCTTTTTATGACGCCGCTGTAGCTGTAGCTGTAGCTGCGGTGGCGTAATAAAACTGGCTGTGAAATCGGTCTATTGAGCGGACTACGGTATCCCGCGCACGAAGCGCCAGGGGAGGCGGGGCCCCTCTTCATCGGCGCAGAAAGAAGAGGCAACGATTCCCCGAGTGCTTCTCTCAAAAGTTGCCCAACGGGGGCAAGTGTCAAGGCTGCGCGTCCCGACCGTTGTTTCCGGTAGGGCAAATGGGAAGGCCTGCCGAGAGTGCGGAAGCAGGTGTGGCCGGCCGCCCCGCCGGCGAACTCGCGTCGTGACTACGCTTCGCTCACCCCTAAGCTGACAGCGCGGTGGGAGCTACGTGCTCTCAGGACCAATCAGCCGCCTCCATTTCATCGATTGACCCCGTTCTCTGTGCCACAGGCGTAGAACGAAGTGGCGAAGAATAGTTGTAGTAAGACATTCAACTGGGCTACAGTCACTGCCAACTTAAGAAACCCACGCCCCGAGTTTGTCAAACTGTCGCTGAGTATAGTTGGTTGCGCATAATAACCATAAATATCGCGAAGGACAGACATGGATATGAACAGGAAGGCGTGACTAGCGCCTAAATAGACACTGCTTCCAACGAGCACGTAGCTTCCACCGCACTGTCAGCTTGAGGGGTGAATCGACTTCACAACCGCCGCCGATGCTGCTGTTGTTGGTCCAGCCAGATGCTTCACGGCCGATCAGGGTGCTCCGTGCCACGCTCGGGCGGACAGGTGTGCCGGGGGAAACTGCCCCGTTCGCTCACCCGGTTCGCCGAGAAACAGCCGACCGGCCGACAACGACTTTCGTTTCGTCACCTCGTTTCTCGGGGGGAAAGAAAAAGACGCGTGACTCGCTGGCACGTGCCTCCGGGATGGGCTTCGAAGAAATCGAAAGGGACGGTGGCGATCGCCCCGTTCACCTCACACTTTACAAACACGAACTGCCGTTTGCGCCCCAAGCGACGTCCGGTCGCTCCTTCTTTGAAAGCCCTGTCGAGCTTGCATATGTCAACAGTGCTAGAAAGCCTAAATGCTACACGGACAACAAAGTTGACATCTTGTAAACCCTAAGATGGGGAACGATAAAAAAAAAAAAAAAAAACGGACGAACACAACAAGATTGATTAATTACCAGCTCGCCTATCACTGCTTACAACAAAGTTGGAGATTAAACGAGGGCATTCGGCTGTACAATTTAACGTCTTTGAGGAGTCAAGTTGGTTTACAAGAATATTGATAAAATTTGAACGGTCCCCCGTTTTTTTTTGTTTTTTTTTTTTTGTTTTTTTTTTGCGTTTATTTGGAGAATCGGTGTTTAAACGTTCTATCGACAATTCAAACAGCGGTGTCAATGTGGGCTTCGTTCATTATTTTTATGAACCGGAAGTTTTCAGGGACGTCAAAGACTGGAGCACCGCCTGCCTAGTGGTGCGCTTCGAATGCCGCGTAGCAACGAGCTCAAGGAGAAACTTGGCACGCGGCATTCGTACCACGGATATTGCGGTGACTCGTGTTTGTTTGCAGACTGTCTTTTGTACGATGTATGGGCAGTGTGACCCCGGCGTAAGCCGACAGTACGGTCGAAGATCGTGCTCGGTGGACCAGTCATCTGGTCTTTCTTTCGCCGCATGATAAAGCTCTTTTTCATACCCGCGCTCCGAGGGCGGGGTCAGGGGATGAAAGAGAGGCGATCGGTTGGTCCGGCCTACGCGTAGCACCCACCACAGTGTCAGCTTAGGGGGTGATCGGAGTATAGAGGTAGCTTGCGTGCAACGCCTGTCCGTCGAGCTATGCGGACGTTAGAGTAAACTGGAACGCACTTGCACGGGCTGTTTTTCGTAGAACCAGGCATTTGCGCCTGCGCCGCTCGACATTTCAGCACCACAGATCTGGCACTGTAACGTCGAAACATTAGTTGGGTAGAATAGGCGTCCTTTCTGTTTTAGACATCCTGGAAGACATGGATTGTAAGCTGGTATGATGATGCGCAGTGGCGATCGAAATCTTCGATCGATCAGCTAGGAGCCTAAAATGAGTCCTCCGGTCTATTAATTAGAATTTGTAGCGATGAAACAATCAGTAACAATCGGTAAGACGATACAGTACCACATAAACGAGGGAAGCGCGAAATTGGTAAAAGGCAATATCCCTAAAGTCACTAATCTTTGACTACAGCGCAAACCAGATATTAAGATACACAACCAATCCTCGCATAATATGGCCACAAATTATTCCGAGAATTCCGAGTAATTACAAAAGATCCCTTTTCCCTTTTTACCCATTCGTTTGTTCGCAACTCGGATACCTGAACTATGCATGAACTGACCCGACTAAGCTACGCCGAGTTAAAGAGAAGTCGCCTGCGTGAACGGATCGATGCATTCAGCGGCTTGCCTCAATGCATCGGAGAAAAAGAAAATACGGTTAAACTAAATATGTCGATTAGGGGGGGAGATGATCGGAAAACTCCCGACCGAGATACTGAAGTTATCATAGTTCCGTGTGGCCTCGGCAAGACAATGGGATTAACATATTTGCCTTGTTTCTCGTGCCTAACATTTTGGGCTCAAGATTGACGACAAAAACGTTTCGCGTCTGCTCTTTCTATCTTTCTATTTGGCCAAATTTTCGTATTCACGATGGCATAACTGAGACAAGCAATAAAATAGATAAGACAGACGACGCAGAAGTTTGAAAGTGTATTAAGAGCAGGCATTAAACAAACACCAGAGCTGGGCTGTACTTCTCTAATTTAGTGACAAAAGTAAAATCTAGCCTCCTTCTCGGCACTAAAACAAAAAAATCTAGTGTATTTTCAGTGAAGCAAACCTATCATCTACTCATCTACTCCCCTCCGCACAACAACGGCGTTACTCTAAATCTTCAACGCCTCGAGCCGTTTCCATCAGTGCGAGAGGACCATCCATAACGCCAGAAACTAGCGTCTCCCCGCACGACAAAGCTGGCGCCACTTTTTTTGTAGGGGACCAGTAAACCATCCGAACCGTTCCAGCACCACCTCCAGACATGACTCGTCTTCGACGCGGCGCCTACACTGGCGAGCAAGAAAAGCAAAAAAAACACTAAAAGAAAAGAAAAGCCGCCGGAGTCCATTCTTTATCAGGAAGCACCTCTTGCAACTTAGGCTCTCCATTGTACTCGACGGTGGTTATGGGCTCAGCGCGGACATGCCCGGGCTTCCCCGTCCCGCCCAGAGTACGGTCGGCACACACAGAGGAACTTACTAATGGCCGAACTAATTTGAAGATGCCGCCGGTGGCGAAGAAAGCCCCCGGTCCCCGCTGGGGCTTAGTTTGGGTGGGGGGAGTTATTGAGGGGCCAAGACACTCCCTGAAATGCCCTCGGCCAGGGGACGTGTGTCGACGGCGGCGGGCACTCCTCGAGCGCGTGAGACTGACCTTGAAGGACACACGTCTGCGCCTCTACGGCCTCCCGTCGAGACCTTCTGGGCGTGGAAGGCTTCAAAGGAGCTCTCTCCGCTGGTCCCTTGTTGTTAGTCTGGTTGGTCTTTCGCTGCTTTGTTGTTAGTAGTAGTTGTAAGCGAGGGTCCATGTGTGCGCGAGCGGGCGCGCGTGTGCGAGCCTACTCTCGGCCCTCGGGCCAGCTTTTGGCGGCAACGGGGAAAGTGTTGGAGCCCCTTTTCTTGGGGGAGAGGGGCGATAAGCGTGCGGTCTTTTGAACGACTGTCCAACGGAGGTAACTGTATGGGATTGTTGGTGATTTTACTATAATCGCAAGGCATGCGCTCGATACGGCTTTCACCTTAGGTGTCTGTGGCTGCTTCTGTGGTGCGATGTCCGAGCTCGCCAAAATTCCTGTGCCGTGTTCAGGCGTTGGTATCTGAAAAGAAAGAAGCAAAGCTTGGTTTTTTATTGTATAGTAAAACAGGCACATATTTTCCCCCGTTCAATAAGCCGCAATGCGGTCAAGTCAAAAGCACTCTAACTAAAAAATAAAAATGAAGCTGCGTGAAAAAAATAAATAAATGTTGGTTGGGTTTTTGCAATGAGCCCGGTTGCTACAAACGAACGTACGCACTAAAAATAACTGCAAAAAAAAAGAAGAAAAAAAAAACTTGTGGAGCGCTTGAGATAGCTATGAAGTCAAAATTTACGAAACCTTTTTAGCACCAAGACACTGTTCCTAAGATAACATCTTCATGGCATCATCACGCTTACAACTTTCATTGACGATCGTAACTCCGGCTCTACAGAGAAAACGAATAAAAAAAAACACGAACGTAAAATCTTTAAGGCAATGGCTAGTCGGCCCACCATGTGTGAGTGAACCCGTCGTCGTAACTCCGCCATCTGATCATCGACCCCTTTCATTCACGGCCTCCGACCTCTCCTGAGGACAAGGTCATATTCTCCATCCCAACACACCCCCTTCGGCATGCGCAATTCCATTCCCCGCTCCGGAGGGGGGCTCCCATTGTTGCCATGCCCCCTCTCGGTTCGGCCCAGGCACGCCACAGGCATCCCAAGTGCGCCATACTGATCGTTACTCGCGACGCTCCGATCCCAGGGTCTACGACCCTGCAGCCTTCTGTGTGTCACCAATTTGACCTCTGGCGCCTAGCGCTCGAAGGTGCGTTGTTCGACGATCCAAGTTACCCTACGGGCCCCACCTTCCATACGACGACATATTGTGCAATCCCTTCGAATAACTGTTTTTCATATCTTTTTTTTTATATATGATTTTTTAAAGCACTGTTTGCTAAACTCTTTTTTTCGAAGGCGAAGGCACAAAAAAGTATTTGTACTTTGACTTTTACCATTGTCTGTTTTCGGGTAGGGCGCATAGCATTCGAAGATGGTCCTGCTGTTGAGGGAGTAGCGGGGCTTTAAAGTGTCGTCTACCCCGCTCCTAAATTTGCATACCCCTTTATTTTGTGAGCACGCACAAATATAATATTTACTTTCTATTGAAGAAGCACAAAGGAAATGTCCTGAGACCGTGTTGACTTTGGACAGTTGGTGATGTTGCTCCTGCTTTGTCACCATAGACATGCGCTCGCGAATGTATCACAATTAAGTTGCCACTATGCTCTTACGCTCGCTAATGTAATATTCTACACCTAAGCTGTAACTACAGCCTTGCGCTCAGGATTAACATATTACAATTAAGTTGGCATCATAGCCTTGGGCTCGCGAAAATGATATTACAATTAAGTTTTAGACCACGATCTCCCCTTTTCTCGTTTCAGAATCCCCGGCACGCGAAGCTGGAGAAAGCGGATATCCTGGAGATGACTGTGAGGCACCTTCAGGGGATCCACCATGGCCATCATTTGCCATGTAAGTATTTAACTAAAAAACGAAAGTTATTTATGAATTTGTCCATGCAGTTTACTTAGCTGTACAGCTAAACAGTAACACAAAATAACTCACACGAGAAATATACACTTCAAAACAAATTCTCGATCTTTGTAAGCAATATCATTATCATGTGTAAGAGCGATATTTTTTATTAGAATCTTGTTGTCTAAACAAACTAGTGAGAGTTGCCTTTTGTTACCCGAAGAATGTCACAGGATAGTAGTTTATAGTATAAGTATATACTAGCCAGTTTAGGAATTTTTCAGTTCTCCTGGTTTTCCGTGAACGTTAACGACGTATATTAACATATCATCACATCTGATAAGGCAGGTGGACAATCATTATGATGTGTATGATATGGGTATTACCTGATTCTGTAGAATTGTGTAGCCATGTATAACTAAGTAGGCACCTGCGGCAGACATAACTTCTGTTCCATCTGTTCATTCTGGTATGGAAGAAATATTTTCAGCACAAGACGAAGTCCCAGTTTTTTTCATTTCAGGGTGTAATGTTGACTAGGTCGCCTCGCTAAACTAGGTCGCCTCGCCTCGCTAGGTTATTTTTCATTCCAACGCTTAACAGTATACACCATTCCAGTATTTATAAGTTCTCAGCCCAGCGTGCGATCTCCACAGCCCAGCACGCGTGTGTTCGTCGCCTCGCTAAACGAGCAAATCACGCGCCATACGTACGAACACTGAAAATGGAACCGGCCAGAGGCCCTTTATGGAAAGGTGTAGTAGCAACGAGATGTTTTGGTGGCGACCTCCAATGGTTCCCTCTCTTGACGTCATTACCTTGCGGACAACAAGTTCGATGGCGTTTGTAATTAGCATGGTGGAAGCTTGAAATTATTGTGCTTTGATATCAACACTGCCAACGCCGTCAAGGATAAAATCGATACATTACCCTTATTTCGGTCGATGCAAAATACTTTGCTGACATCATAGTCAGCATTCGGCCGATCGTGGAAGGCCGACCACAGCAAAGCTTTCGATCGCGCACGTCGCCAATAGACATAACTATTTGTTAAGAAAAAGGGGACCCAAATGTGAGTTGGTGTATTGAAGTGGACAGCCTCATGTGATAAATTGGGATGTATTATTGTGCTTCGATATCGTTCCGACACCTCTTGCATAAGTCAAGCAACGTAAAGCTTCATCGAGTCATTCCAATATTTATTTTATTTCTCGTTTATGCAGCAGCAGCTCACGAATTGGAAGCCAGATTCCAGGCTGGTTTCGCCGAATGCGCCCGAGAAGTGACCCGCTTCGTCTGCAACACCGACGTCGACGCCAGCATGCGGTCGCGCCTCTTGGGCCACCTGGCGTCTTGCCTGGCCTCTTTGCCGACGCCTCCAACGGCCGAGACCGAAGATCAGGCTGCCTCAAGCGGCACAGTTATCGTCAAGGCTGAGCCCGGAAGCTGCGACAGCTCCGTCTCTGCCGTACCATCACCGTCCTGTGCTCAAGACCAGTGCATGGATCCACTGGCTTGCCGGCCTGCGAGTCCTCTGAACTTGGCCACCTCCGCCCGGTCGGTGTCTTCGACGTCTTCGGCATCTTCAGGCATCAGCATGCCTGCAAGTCCCTACAGTGACTCTGAATCCACCACTTCGGCCAGTGAAGACAATTACGGTGATGTTGTAAGGATGGATGTTCAGACCTTCGGCGTCATCAGAAGAGCGCCGGCAATGTACTGCGATCCAGTCTGGAGGCCCTGGTAGCACGAAGCTCTTCTAGGGCTGTTGTTTTTATGTACAAATTGTAATTTGTTTTTGTGTGTGCCTGTTTACCCATCGACTACATTCCTGTACATACATGTGGTGATTATTCTCAAGTTCCTAGTGTCTCTCTTTTCCACCTTTGTAAGTTATAATGCCAAAGCCATATACTTAAGTGCCTTTTCACTTAATGCCTTTTATACAATGAAATGCCATTAATGCACACAAACGAAAAAAAAAGAGTGCCCAAGTGACAATAAACTTTGGAAAATATTTTAAAGTGAAAATTATAACACCTTCGTTTTGTCTTACTTCGATCATGAGTTCTATTTGGGTGAAGTCCTAGATTACAAATTTTATAAAATAAGGTCAACAAAAATGTTAAGATAGATATTAAATTGTCTTACCAATTTCCTAACCAAGAGTATCCAGATAAAGAAGTTTCTAAAATAAAATTTTCGAGGCTGTTGTCTCGTTTCTGCAAGAAATATGCGCCTTCCCGAGTTAAATTTGAAGCGAAACAATTGGCTAATGAGTAGTAACTATCCGAAGGTTTCTTACTAATGCAGACTTTCGAAGCCGGTGGCCACGCTTCGTCCATGTAATCAGTGTCGCTTCACTAAGAGAAAAAAACTATAAACAAATGCGTTTTCATTCTATTTTTTTCTTTTGAGAAGAGAAGTGGTCACTTTCATATCTACCTTCGCACTCAAACCTTACGCGAATTGAACAGGGTAGAGCATACCCACCCTCACAAAACAAACCTATTCGTTTTCTACTAAACAAGTTTCATGCCACGCAAGCAACAATCCATTTTGATTTCTGAAAAAAAAAAAAAAAAAAAGAAGTTAACTTTTAGGCGAAATTTGGAAGCACAAAGAACAGACACCGAAGACCACAGTGTAACAAATAAGCCGAAGGAAGCCGTTGTCTACTACGATGTACACTTTCCAACTTTCCCCAACGGGAAGGGACGGGGGGACTTCCTGGACCTCTCTCCCCAGACATCGGCGTTCGTTGCAAACAGTTTTCAATTTCCGCGCCGGGGCGCCCGAGCAAAGCGCATGGGTTTCTACTCACTGCTGGAACGCTTTCAAGGGAAGACGCTTTTGGCGAGCGACAAAGACTCGTCCCTCCACCGACTCCCCCGGACAAATAAGACCCGAGAGGCAGCGAGGAGACCTACTTTCGGAAGTCCGCCACAAAAGGAAGGAAATTTTGGGGCGTACGGATAATCCGCGGGGCGGCTCGGACCAACAGGTCCACCTTGGGGGAACAAGCGCCATCCTTCGCGGAGCCTTTCGAACGCCTGGCTACACTCTGCTCACCCCTAAGCTGATAGAGCGATGGAAGCTACGCACTCGTTGGAGCCAGTCATACATCGATCCATGGCCACATGATCAGGCTCTCGGCCGTATCCATGCGCGGAGAGCGAGGTCAGAGGATGAAAGGGAGGCTGTTGATTGGTCCGGCGAGCCATTAGTCCTCACAGCACTGTCAGCTTATGAGTGGACGGAGTTATAGCCTGGCGATTGACTTTCTCTCTGCCCCGCTTTTTTTTTAGGAATCTTCGCAATTGAGCAAATCGTCGCGTGTGCATATGAAAAGGAGCAAGATAAGTGAAATACACGAGCAGCAAAAGGGGCGAAGGAAAATCACTTTCCGGCACCTGCGCCGGTAACCCCTGGGAGGGTTGTTTTGAAGTAAAAAAAAACATGCGAAGCAATCTTTTCGTTTCGGCAACAAATTACTGCTCCCTGACTGCTTCTTTTTAAGGGACTGCCCGGTCTTGTGTTCGCATCCCGACGGAATTGTGTGGTGCCAACAAGAGGTCAAATAGTGTTTGTACAAAAATTGTAAAAATGCGCGCAATAAAAACTTAGAGCTTTTCTTGCGAAATAAAAAAAAAATAGAAACGACAGGAAAAGGGCTCCATCTATGCTGGGTCTTTTGAGGAATCGTACCAACCATTCTTCCAGTCAATCTTATTTAATTGCTGACTAGCGGGGCTGGGCTTTCATTAAATTTTTATCCCGATTGATCGCTACTTTTTAGCTGACTACAGTTAATCGATTAATTAATTTAGTTGACCTCCCGGCATAATACTAACAAGTGGCAAATCTACAAATTTCTATTTTAATGCTTACCACCCACAAGATACGCAGGCCAACAAGCTTAAAATTAACGGATTTAATATTAATATTTGTCCTTGTAATCGCTCTTGACTGATGACAGTCATATATTAAAAAAAAAGAAAATATGAGAGTCAACTAATAACGCAGGCCTTTCCTCTTCAGGATTTTTTTAAATTACACCCGAACCCAACCGATTAACTGGTTAAAATGATCACTATTAAAACATTAATTAGTTTGAAGATTATTCGATCAACTGTCCGAACATAAAAATGATTATTTATTTGTATGTCTGGGTCGAGCATACAAATACCGATATAAATTGCATATCGCGGGTTCAGAGAAAAATCATAGAAGTATTGGCCTAATCTCGCGTCCTTTACACAAAAAAAAAAAGGAATTTCGGAAACAAAATATTTGTAATCAGACCTGACCCCGGCAAAAATACGCGAATTCCGCTATAATCAATATTACAACGCCTAGCGAAACTATCTGATGAAAAAACAAAAATTCGCGTATCATTATATTTTATCGAGTAATATATTATTTGGCATAAAATTGTTTAGCGCCTAATGATGGAATACGTACACAGTGGATTAGTTAGTATGATGTTGAGGACGTAAGTTATGAGCGTTAACTGTGCAGTTAATAATCGCTTTATTTGATGGGCGATATGACTATTTTTATATATCCAAATATCGTCCAAAAATAATCATAAGGCAGTGGTTAATGTTTGTCTAAACTATTTGCTTTCTAAATACATGTAGTTTGCTTATGACTGATGAGGCATGGTTACCCAGACTAGGTAGAAAATATATGTACAGATGATGAATCTATGAAGATGATGGTTCTAAAATTAATGTTTGCCGAAGTGCTCAGCTAAGTCTTGTGAAGTAAATTCGTATTTTACGATATAGCTGGCTGCGAAAGGTTATATGTCGTTAATGTTGAGTTACGATACATATTTCATAAAGGAATTATAATATACTCCTATGAACCGTACTCCCTGTAGCAGTAGCAAGCACGAGAACTATGCGTACGGACTATAGTGCAACGTTTCATTGATCCATTTTGATTTATTTTATTGCGTTGAAATATCTGAAAGTCCGACGAGCAAGCAGAAAGGATAAAGTCGGCCCTCGATTCCTCCTTTCTTTCACAAAAAGAAGGATACGCTTCCTCATCTTTCCTGGGACGAGAACCCAGACTTCTCGGGCAGAAGCGATGAACGTTGGATGAACGGGAGCGGAAGGGAAAGAAAGAACGGCATTCGGAAAGGGTTGTCTGCCAGACAGAACGCGCATGCTTGGGCGTCGACCTTTGGAACAATTCTGTAAAAGTTTATGTGTAAGAGCGGATGCTTATCGGGGAGGGATGTAGGTGACGTTAGTGATCAGCCGAACCAGCGGGACTCCCTTCCCTACTCAAGCATCCGCACGAACGGCGGGGACCCAAGAGGGATGCCAGTGTTATCAGACGTGTTTAGCGGTCGCACTCTCGACAACAGGGCTGCGCGCTGACGAGAGTAGAAAAATGGAAGTGTATGCATGAAACGGCGATACGCGATTATGGCAGCAGCGCTGTTTGATGCGGAATACGACGAACCGCTTCCTGCAAAAAGAAAGGTGCTTCGTGAATGGGTAGATGCAACAGAAAGGGCGTGGAATAAAAAAACAAACACTGGAATGATGAGCGGCTTGAGGACGGCATTGAAGAATATCGAAAACTCCTTCGGGCGTCTCGGACGACTTGCGCGACGGCGCAATTCACAAGTGAGGCGATCCCGATGCCAGTGTCGTCATCTCGCTGAGCAAAATCCGTATGAAGTTGCCAGACACGCCAACAAAACACCACAAATCGCAAAGAGATCTCACGCTAAGACGGTGAGCGTTTGTGTAGCACGAGCAAAAGTTCCCCCATCACCTCGCGGGGGTGTCTACGTCAGCGCGGTGAACAAAGGGAGGTGGGGATTTCTCCCCCGTGTGAATAGCCCTTAACCAAAGCCTTCGTGAGTCGATGATTTTATCCAGCACAAACAAAAAAATAGCAGCGTGACAAAACAAAATTTAGAATGTATATTCACCAGGGATCTCCAAACGTTTGGCCGAGGGGCCGCATCGGGTACCTGTTGCAGTTTCGAGAGCCGAAAAAATAGTGGAGACAATGTAAATGAGCTCGAAATACTAAATAAATAAGCCTAAATAAGCATATAAATAGAAACATTTTAATCAGAGGGGAAAAAAGTAAGGTGATGAATATATATATACTAATAGTTAAAAGTGCGAACTGAAGCACGGACGAAAGAAGAAACACGTACGACACGGACGGGCACTGCTTACGAATGCACAGGATCGCTGTACGTAACAAAATTCAGGAGGGAGGGAGGGGGGAGGGGGTCATTTAGCAGAGCAATAAAAGCGTTGCGGTTACGAGCCGCTCTTAGATTCGACGAAGTTTGTCAAAAGAGCGAATAAAAAGAAGGAGAAAAAAATCGTTGAAAATTTCTTTATCAAGAACGTAGGTGGAAAATGTGCGAGCATGTCGTCTATTTTTCTGCTGAATAAGGAAACGCATTTTTAGATAGCTTTATATGAGACAGCCGATATGATATCGCTTCATTACTTGGAAGAAAATATTGGATGAGTAAATGTTTCTTCGATGAAATCAGTTGTAAGCAGCGGCTTTCCTTGTCGTCGTGTTTCTTATTTCGTCCGTGTTTCAGTTTGCGCTTTTTAACTTTTAAATAATCGAACCCGAGTAGACCCAGCCAAAATTTTATTGGTTACGTGTAATTTATTTTTAAATGTAGTGCGTTACTAACTTCGGCATCACAACATAATTGTAACCCAGAGAACTCACCGGGCACAAATCAAAGCGCATAGGAACTTTGGCATATTCACGCAGGGCTCAACACTAATGAGAATGTCAGAGGCTCTAATCTGGATGCTTGGCGAAAAAGTCAGCGGCAAGGAATTCGGCTTCCATGATTTGCCGGCGCCGCTCTTGACTTTGTCACCGGTCAGTCACGGCGGTCGGACTCCTCGCTGACGTTTCCGCCAAACGTCTGGATTGAAGCCCCCGATGATCACAATATGCCAGACTTATGGCACGGGACATTAAGCTATATACATAAAAATGTTTAAAAAAAATTTACCATACTC